GCTCCAGAAATACTTCTGTCCTCATTGGAAAGTGCGTGGGGTTTTGTGTTTTACCAAACTTGAAGACAGAACAGGAAATAGAAGTTGCCTGTAAAAGCATGTTTTTATAATACTAAATGGGATCAATTAAATGTTGATTTATTTATTTTTTGTTTAATCTGGAACGCGAAAGCGTTCACTGTTTGTCAAGACTGGACTGGAAAGCTTATGTAACACTGGCAGTGAAATGCAGAATTTTATTAGGATAAATGGAGGCACCTCGGTATCTTAACCATTTCAGAAAACTCCAGTGCAATTCAGCAGATATTCCACACTATTTTAACTTATTTTATCTAGGGATGAATGCACCTCAGCTTCTAATACTTGGTTCTTAACTTTGTGTACGTAGGCTTTTGCAGAGTGCAAAAATGGACAGTGTTTCTGGGTGTAGAAAATACTTTCTGCCCTAAATAATCATCTTTGCATTTACCTGGACGTTTTTCACAGATATGGTGTAATATGTTTTTGTCTATTTGCTAGGAACAAACCCAGTTATCAATTGCGTGTAACTTATAATCATATAATCGGTGGTGAAATCTGTTACAAACAGTTTAGGTGGTGCCTGTGTAGATGCAGTTGGCACGTGGCCTAGGCTTGCTTTTTGGATGTGTTTCTTTTAAAATGGTTTTGCTGGCTTGAAACATTCCTCATGTGTTCCTGCTCTGCCAACAGTCCTATCAGTGAGCCAAAGCACAGGAAAACAAAACAATTCCCGCTGGATTTTAATTCTGTGTGTTTTGGCTCTCTGTTGGATGTGAAGCTCTGCATCTCTTTATGCCATTTGTTTGCAGTTAGTTATGGAATTAGAAATAGCTGTATTCTCAAAGTGATTTTGAATCGCCCTTTATTCTCCTGCCCTAGGTGCATCACCACCTCTTCCTCAGCATTTTTCTTCACTGCAGTTAACACGGATGTCCTCCCCTGCCTTCCCGTCAGCGTCCCGTCATCCCTTAGTTAGTGCTTTGGTCGGGTCAGGGATAGGATTTCTTTTGATTAAAACCCAGAGTTTTTCAAGGCTTGCAGAATTCTGCCCCTTTTTAATAAATCGTGATGTTTGCAGTGTGTGTAACCCCATTGGTGTGCAGTGGCAGCACCACCGAGGCTTTATCTCTTGATAGCAGCTAGTAAATAATTTTTTGCCCAGTGCTTGCTGATCAGTTGATTGATTTTTTTGTTGTTGTTATTGCTCCGTTAAGCTCCTTTTGGCAAGTATTGTCGGCTGAATGTGTTGAATGCGGATCCAGCTCTCAGGTTTACTTAGATGAAATCTTTCTTTTTCTCGTGAGTTTTACTTCTGAGTTTATGCTTAAAATATACAGATGACCTTGATTTTAAAAATGATGGTTTCATTCAGACTGCTCTTCTGAACCTCTAAATTTCACAGACCTTTTCTCAGGAATTTTGTGTAGTAGTTTGAAGAGGTAAAATGTAATATACAATGGTTAATTTTTTCAAAACAATGGTTCAGTGTTTAATATTCCTTAGACTTCTTAAGTGTTTTCAAATGTCATACTGGAAAAATGCAGTAAAGGCATGATTCTTTTAGCACTTACATTTTGATGCTATAGGATTTTAATTTTCAACTTCACACCTGTTTTGTGATTAATTGTCCCTGTTCAAGATAAAGTATGTCATGTTGTACTTGGAGATATATATATATAATTTATGTAGAGCTTTCATACTTTGTGTAGTCTTACTCATGACTGATTTTGTGGAACATCTGAAGGAGCTCTCAAAATTCAGCGGTCTCTGTTAATGCCGTATGCTCTTTTCTTTCCAGTGGGCCTTTGGAGTAACGCTGTGGGAGCTGATGACTTTAGGCCAGACTCCCTACGTGGATATCGACCCCTTTGAAATGGCTGCTTATTTAAAGGATGGCTATCGAATAGCTCAGCCAATCAACTGCCCCGATGAACTGTAAGTGCATGTTTTTGGAGAGAGGATAAAATGTCTGTTTTGTAAGCAGGCTGTTAAGCCAGGCTTAGCAATTCAAGAGCCAGGTTTGCCTTCCCCTGCCTGTTTGTTCTGCCTCTTAGGCTGACCCTCGTGTAGGTATTTGTATGCCTTCAGTAACCTATGCTAAGGAACTCGGTCTAAAATTAACTCTAAAATTAAATGCTTTGTTGTTATTGTTGAATTTCACTTAATCCTGACCCAACTCTTTTCCTTATTCTGCCACATGGGTGAAATGGAGTTGATCAGCAGGGTAGGATTTGGGGGCAAAGGGACCAGGTGTTTTCAGCTCAATGTTTTGGGACTGCAGCATGGGAAGCCACTGTGTTTGTAGGAAGAGGGAATGTTTGTTCTTTCAGCCAGACTACGGAGAGGTGCTGTGTGTAATGGAGCTGAATGGCAGTGCTTCAGCTGTTTAGTTGTAATCCTAATGGTGTAGGAGGATGCAAGAGCACAGGCCCTACCTTCTGCCTCGTGTTTTCTTCTAAATCCCTTTCCTGTAAACCTGCTGCAGAAACCCTTTGAACTGTGCTTCTACGTTAGTTGAGCAATTTCCGATTCCTCCTGGCTTGCCTCTGACTTGTATGCTGAATCAAACCAGCACTTTCGGTCACAGCACATTTATTGATCATTTCGGGTGCCTGTCTTCTGAAGGAGTTGCTCAGCATCGCGTGTCAGAAGAAACAGGGTTCCTTTTCTCTCTCTCGGAGGTCAGCAGGTTTTCTAGTGGCAAATGCTGGTTTTCCTTTTTGGGTTGGGACTATGGTTGCCTGGCTCACGTTCTCACGTCTTCCACTCATCTTTGTCTTGCAGGTTTGCTGTGATGGCCTGCTGTTGGGCCCTGGATCCTGAAGAAAGACCCAAGTTTCAGCAGCTGGTGCAATGTCTAACTGAATTTCATGCAGCCTTGGGAGCCTACGTCTGAAACTGCAGAAGAAGATTCAATTCACTGACTGGGAGAAGGCACGGCATAGATCTGCAGCTCCATGCGTGACTCGGACTCACACACGTGATGTGTATAAAGCAGCACCAAAGGGAGAAAGCACTTCTTCCAAAACACTGTGCCTTAGAATGCTTTAGTAGTCTGAAGTTTTTTTGTAAGACCTCTTAATGTTGAATATTTTCTAGATATCACTTTTGCTAAGTTAAATCGAGACCTTTTCATTTGCCATCAGGATTTTTAAAGTGTAGTGATAGTGAACTTAAACACGAGATTTGGATGGACTTTGCACTCTTACCAGACACGTGATTTTTTTTTTTTTGAAGGGTATTTGGAACTGGTAGAAAAGTGAAGATGGGGAAAATAATGCAAAATTCACACTGCAGAAAATTTTCCCTGCTTTTTAAAAATGTTGAAACAGAATATTTCTGACCAGCTCTAGTGTTTGTACTTGTATGTATCTGGAATAGCTTCTTAGTATCAACTTCTTCTATCTTGAGACAACAGCACATTGTGGTTGGATCCACAAGCGGCATCTTACTTTTTTAACCCATTCACTAATGTTTTTTGGAAAAGCTGGTCTTCAGGATACAATATCCCCTTTTTAAAGTGACTATGTAAAAGTGATTCCAGTTTACCTCATGCAGAAAGTAGTAAAGGTGGGGTAAAAATGGTACCCCTCCTTGCAGGTAAAAGGCTGATGTGATTTTTTTTTTTTGAGATGGTTTTATGTGCTAAATAGAGGCCTTCAGAGAAGTGCCACAGCAGCCCTTGTGTGGGAGTCTTTCACCTCAGACTTCATCGCAGTTTCTCTTGTTCAAAAAGGTACTGGCTGTTTTTTATGGGCTTTTATGGCCTGAAATGGGCTTAAATATATAAATATATATTTGTAAAGACACTTGCAGAGTAAAGAATGTTTTTCTATTACATCTAATGTGAAAGCTTGGTCCCTCGCATTGCCCTGTGCGTTGAACACGCAGGTTGGTGGTGGTTGTTGGTTGGAGTTGGTATGAGGATGAGGTGGGTTGCCTGCAGAACAGGACATACATGTTCTCTGCAGAACAGGTGCCTGAGACTGAATATATTGTCCTGCTGCCTTCTTTCACCCAAATATCCATTCCACCCCAGGTTATTTTGAATTTAATGTTACTTTAAAAGACTGCACAAGTTACTTCATGGAAATGTGTGGTAATCCATTGATTCAGCCTCAGTAACTTCCACTTGGTATGAAGATGAGGTGGGTTGCCTGCCTCCTTCCCTGCAGAACAGGTGCCTGAGACTGAATATATTGTCCTGCTGCTTTCTTTCACCCAAATATCCATTCCACCCCGGGTTATTTTGAATTGAATGTTACTTTAAAAGACTGCACAAGTTACTTCATGGAAATGTGCAGTAATCCATTGATTCAGCCTCAGTAACTTCCACGTTCTATATATAAAGTTATTTGTAGAATAACTTCCAGTTCTCCAAAGGAACTGTAGATTGCACATTAGCTCAATGTGAAACATGAAAAATTGCCTTCTGTCTCACACCATCTTCAGAGTAAAGCACCGATAACCTCGAGCATTTGTGGAACTGCATGGTTGGGAGCCATCATAGCATTTTAGGAGACACTGGGGCCTGCAAGCACGAGCAGCTGGATTTGGCTGTGTCATACAGATGTGCGGCTTTTGCTCTTTCCAGAGTTACCTTGCTGAAGAAAATGAATCCTTTCTAATAAATATTATGCAAGGCAGAACTTTGTGCAGTCTTGCAGGCTGCCCCTTTGCATTGCAGAGCTAAAATGTAGCGTCCCTCAAAATGCGAGAGCTTCCCTGTCTGCAGTTCAGTGTTGGTTATCTGTGGCTTGTGAATCAAGTTTTACTTTATCCTGGAAGGAAATTTTCCCACTGGCTCAAGTTTGGGCATGTTGTGATGGGCTGTGTTTGCTTGAAAGAATTGAAACTGGTTTCATCGGATTGGCTTTTGAGTCGCTGAGTTTGGGGATAGCAGTGAGGCTTTGGTTGTGTGGACTTCTGCAGTCTCTTTCCTTTGTGACCTAGGGGCAGTACTCAATGTCGCTACTTGTTTACGATGACTTGGTTGTTAAAAGCCATCAGTGACGGTGTTATTCAGATCCAGATCTGTGTTACAGTGGAATCTACAGAGGTTATGGCTGTCAGATTTGAGATTGGAAAACAGCCTAGGGTGAAAATGGTACACATACTGTAGGTACTTCACAGAGTAGCATAGCTTCACTGAGTGCACTGTAGTACTCATGTGCATACGAGACGTGTATCTTGCAAGATCTGTTCACATCTGACAGGTATCTGAAGTGACATCTGACCACTGTGGCCTCTCAATGTCACTACTTGTTTACGATGACTTGGTTGTTAAAGCCATCAGTGACGGTGTTACTCAGATCCAGATCTGTGTTAAAGTGGAATCTACAGAGGTTATGGCTGTCAGATTTGAGATTGGAAAACAGCCTAGGGTGAAAATGGTACACATACTGTAGGTACTTCACAGAGTAGCATAGCTTCACTGAGTGCACTGTAGTACTCATGTGCATACGAGACGTGTATCTTGCAAGATCTGTTCACATCTGACAGGTATCTGAAGTGACATCTGACCACTGTGGCCTTAAGGTGAGTTTGGGATGCACTGTGCTTCCAGCTGCTCCTCTCACTGAGGGAGTGGTAAACCATGGTAGGCTCTCATGTGCTCCCAGAGAGTGTGCAGATCAGTAGAGACTGAGAAGTGGTTTAGTGTGGTGGTAAGGTGTAGATACAGCTGTCATTTTGGAAAATTTGCTTTCATTTAAACACGCTTCACCTCCAGGGGTTAAAGCAGATAGGCATTTTGCTGATAGCAGAGCTACCTGGAGTAAATGCCTTGCAGGAATTTATTGTACTTAAGATTGCAAATAGCCTTCATGCTGATGTTATTCTTCACTGCTGCACGTGATACCTTGTAGCTCCATGACTTTAGGAAAGCTCTTGTGGAGCAGGTCACTTGGGTAGAACATTGAAAATACAGACTTTCTGGAAGGAGAATGTTATTGAGAGCTCCTACTCTTAAAGTACACAGAAAAGTCTCAGTGTTGCAGTTTGGATTGATCGGTACCTGTTACCTGAATACAAATGTATGCCCTGTTATCAAGGTCCAGTATGGAATCAAGAGCATGTTGATGATAGCCCTCAGGCTTGCAGGCTCCAGTGGCAGACAACGATGGAGGTGTATTTTTGTGTTGACAACATGAGGGTGAAGAAGAGTGCGTTTTTTGACCGTACTAAACACATCAAATAGTCTTTCTTCAGTCTTATTCCCACATGTCCAGTTTTGAATGGGCGGTAACAGGGTCTAGCACAGAGAACTTGATGTGTACAAAAGATGTTTTGTATGTGGGAGAGCCAGGAGGCAAGAGCTAAAGGAGAAAGAAATGGCTGAGAAAGCCCTAACCAAATTTCTGGGGAAAATAGCAGGGTGAGTATGGACCAGTCCTCTCTTCTCCCTACCTTCTGGAGCATGATAGCTCCTTGCTGTGGCGTACCTGTAAAACAGTGGTACTGGAGACCTCCACAAGGGCCATTTCAGTTGGAGTGCTGATGTTGAAACTCTGTGGGAGGTGTTGTGGAGAGATCTACATAGATCTCTTGGTGAGCTTAGAGACAAAAGTGGGCAAACCATGTGGGAGAAGGGTGGGTTTTGGAAATTACGGTGCTCCTGTATTAAGGAAAAGCTGGAGGAGAGCAGTAAAGGAAACAACACGAGTGACTCTTGGGAGAGCCAGATGGAGCATGACTGGTAGGTAAGTCAAGATAAAAGAACAGAAAGCTGTGGTTACAGGAAAGAGGGGGAAGATTGTGGCTTCCAGGTTGTTTTCTTGGGAGCGTGATGCTGGAAGAAAGAAGTTGGCTGAGAAGAGGTAAAATACAGGTGGTGTGGAGCATTACGTTGGGTGGCTTAGGTGAGAAGATGGCTCAAGTGTAGGGTGTCATGGGATTCTCTTTGAAGACAGAGGGCAGGGTTGGTTGGGAGGACCTCTGATGGAGCAGGGCTCTAGAGTGGATCAAAAGGAGGGGATCAAATCATGGAGAGAAAAAATGTTAAGAGAGGAGAAGGCTGACAGGAGTCAGTTCATCAGCAGTGATGGGAGGAGAGCTGTGCAGTGCTAAATAAGGGAGATGCATAAGAGCACCTGGGAAGCAGCACTGAGAGAACGGCTGCTCCATGGGCAGTTTTTCCACGTAACTCAAGAGACGCCTTGGAGGATCAAAGCCCTCGTCCTGGCTGTCTTGGCCAGCTGTTGTGTTCAGGTTGTCCTCTTATTGCCCGCTGTGACTCTCTCCAGGTTTTCAGCAAAGGCTGAGGCTGGCGTGGCAAAAGGAGTTGCATGTGAAGATGGTGCCGTTCGTTTCTACTAGAGGTGACCTTGTTTTATTGAAGTTGGGGGTTTTTGTAGTTTTGTTTTTTTGTTTGTGGGGTTTTTTTGCTTAACTTTGGCGCTAAGAATCGACACGCCAGCCCAGAGTGTTCGTCTGACAGCCTTTGTGCTAGGATTTGTTAGAAGGCTTTCAGCTCTTTGCTCTGGAAGAACGCGTGTGCACTGGGCTCTGAATGTGGAAAGGGCAGCTGGTGCTTTTCAGAATAAAGTGGAAATATTACGGAGACTGTGGAATTTGTGTAAGGGTATTGAGTTTTGAGCATTTTTTGTGGTAGCTGATGGACATCATCAGGAGGAATTTCTTTACTGAAAGGGTTGTCAAGCACTGGAAGGGGCTGCATAGGGAGGTGGTGGAGTCACCATCCGTGGAGGTGTTTAAAAGCCGAGTGGGTGTCATGCTTAGGGACATGGTCTAGTGGTGGACTTGGGGCTGGTTTGATGGTAGGACTCAAAGATCTTAAAGGTCTTTTCCAACCACAACCATTCTGTGATTCTGATGTGAATAATTCTGAAGAAAAGGACTTTGAAAAAAAAAGAAGTCTTCTGAAAAGAGAGTGTGAGTCTGTCAACCATGTGTTGCACGAGTACATTCCTCACAGGTACGTCTGCATACTTGGGGCCAGATGTAAATCTGGCTGTCTTCTGCAGTTCAGCCCCGAAGTCCCATGGTGCCAGCTCCAAAATGCCTAGCTCCAGAAGCAGGCAAATACACGCTTCGCACGCAAATACAAATGCCAGGGTTGAAAACCTCACTTGACACGAAGGAATGCGAATGGGCGTGAAGGGTGGTGGTGCAAGCCTTGCTCTCATTCTGGGAAGCAACCCTTGGGGTGTTTTCTGGCTAACACATGGTGGTTTTTTTTTCAACATGGGCTGCGAGTTGTGCAAATACTACGAGGATTGTGTGGGTTCAAGGTTGTCTTAACTCAGCTTCAGAAATATCCC